TTTCGTAAGACATATTCATGTGATAACAAGCTAATACATTTCGTTTATGAGCCTCATAGTAGCCTTAATAAGAGATTACAGACCGATGTGATGTTCATAGATTTTCTAAAGCGTTCGATAAAGTGCCCCATCAACATCTGCTACAAAAACTAACCCAACTGCGTATTCATAGTTCATTAATCACTTGGATAAAAAAAATTCCTATCTGATCGTAGACAATATACTGTTGTAAGCGAGTCCCGTTCACCTCTTTCTCATGTAACGTCCGGTGTACCCCAAGGTAGTGTTCTGTGCCCCTGGTGTTTTTAATATACGTTAAAGGGATGGTGAACCGAAATTTGGATTTCAGGAAAAAAACAATGCAGGAGATGTAGGCGGGACGCTACAATCCCTACAACGCTACTCGTAAGGCGATATCTTGAATGAACGGCCGTATTTTGGGAAAAAGAGGTCGAGATTGAACCAGGCCGACGAGGCGCCTGACCGTGAAGATACCTAGTTTCCTCCTCTCGTCGATTCGCTCCCTCGAGGCGGCGAGGCGGAGAAGACGCGAGGCCGTTCCCTCTCCTTCTTGGAGAAACATGACGTGAATATTTCTTTCAAATGCGCCTCCTTTTCTTGAAAAATACGGTCATCCGTTCGAGATATTGCTGTATGAGTGATGCTTTGGTGTTTGTAGCATCCTGTTGCACGCTTTTGCCGCGTGTTTTGTGGAATCAAGATTTCGGTTCAGCATCCCTTTAACGACCTTCCTGCTAACCTAACATCTGAAATTCGCCCCTTAGCTGACGATTGTGCTCTATACAGACCAATAAGTAATAATAATGATCACCTACTCTTACAGGCTGACTTACTAATAATAGAAAAATGGTGTCAAAAATGGCAAATGACAGTTAATGTAAATAACACAAAACAAGTGTCTTTCACCAGATCACACTCCCCATTACTATTTTCATATAAACTCAACGGCACAATAACTGACCCCTGTATATCTTACAAATACCTCGGTGTTCATTTAACTTCTGATCTACCTTGGGCAACTCACATTAATTTTATTTTATCTAAGGCTAATCCATCATTGGGATATCATCGGCGCAACCTCGAAATGGCCTCATCTGCAATCAAACAATTATCATAAATAACATTTGTTAGATATCGTCTAGAGTATACGCCTTCTGTATGGTCCCCATGGCAGCATTACCTAATTATGAAATAAGAGGCAATGCAAAACCGAGGTTTAAGGTTCATTTTCACAGACTACTCTCGTTTCACTATCTAAGGAGCAAAGCTAACCTTCACTCACTCTCATTTAGGCGAATTCTTTCGTGACTGACCCTGTTTCATAAATTATACTATAACAGTACCTCTATTAGAGCATCCCTCTTCCTTCTACCCCACAGTATATCTCTCCGCCATGATAACTCCTGCAAAGTTCGCCCGATTTTTAGTTCAACTGTGGCATTTAATAATTCATATCTGCCCATGACAATCAAGGACTGGAATAAATTACCCGTTAGCGTTGTAACCGAGACTGACTCTGATAGATTTGTCTAAGAACTAATCAGTTACCTCGAACTTATAAACATGTCTTCCTGCTAATTGTTTTTTCCCTTCCTTTTTACTGTTCACAATACATACCAATAAACTATATTAATAATATTGTGTAATGTTGATAACTACTTTTAGTTTCTTGTTCTTTAATTCACCTGTATTGCTGACTTCCTCTCCGTGAGTGTTAATTCATTTTCAATGATAATTCTTAGTGTGTTATTGACCCTCCTTGTATAATGCCCTAACGGGCGCTCAAGGAATTATAAATAAATGACTAAATGAATGAATGAAGAGAACACTGAATTTAAGGTACCAGGTGTTCAGTCCAGTTTTCTTATGGGTTCGATCATAGTGCAACTTGATACAAAGCAGGCGCTTTAGCTCTCTCGAAAACCAGCTAGGATACTTAAATTTACGAGCCTGTTGTTTTGGAATAAAATCCTTCATTGCATTAGATACTAATGAAGTCAACTTAGTAGTGACCGGATATGCAATTCGGTCCGATAATACGTCAGACCAGTTTCAATGAGCGAGGCGATTGTAAAACCCGTAGTAATCAGCACTGCGATAATAAAACGGAGACAACTGATGGCTAGCACGGCGCCTAGATGACAGGCAAAACTGAACAAAGGGAGTATGATATACATCAACACCAAGGGTATGACTGCCGGCACAATAACCTCTATGGGAGCGCTTGACAAGCATAAATCAAGGACATCATCAGCTGTATTTTGGCAGGAGTTTAACGGAGTAAACCCATAAAAATTTGAATAAAAAAGTTATACATATAAAATAGCGCACAAAAAACAAGGACAACAAGTATACAGGACAAATGCTTGTCCTCTATACTTCTTGTCCTTGTCTTTTTTGCGCTATTTTATGTTTTACTAAGATGAACCAATTAGCCCAAAAACGTACCCTACTGAATAAGAAAGTAACCATGCCGCTTTCCTAGAAGTAATACTCTTTATATGTGACACCATTCCAGTCGACCAATCAAGACCAGGCAGAGTAAAATTTCGATATAATTGAACCCTGATAGCCGTGACGATACACATTTTTCGCTGATTAAATTGACTTCATCGGATTGTATAGGATTGGCTGCGGTTGTTCTTAATGTAAAACGAAGTATAAGATTAATCGTTTACTTTTGCTAATTAAAAAAATGAAAGTCGAGATATGCAAGTAAAATAAAAAGAAAGACCAAAGCCGCAAAGCTTATGTAACATATGATGAGACATCGAGGACGTGTCACACATCTAGTGTTCTGTGTTTTCGGAGTTTATTTTTCGTCAAACTTGGAGGGTGTTTTTCGGAGTATATTTTTTGCCAAAGATTCGGAGTTTATGGGAGTTTATATTTGTTTGATTCCAAATTCTCCGAAATTCGGCGTTCAATTTTGCAGTGTACCCTATTAAAAATAAATAAATAAATAAATAAACGGATGTCAACGTATGCCAGCCAAAAAGAAATAATAAATAAAACTCGATTGTATTACTCGAAATTTCTTCAGTTGGTTTTGGCGCTGCTGTCATTGCCATTGGCAACACTCATATGTCCCACGACCAAAGTCCGACACAAGACGTACTTCGATAAATGTCGATACCTTAAAATCAATAAGCTCCCTAGAGGTAGTCGCTAGGAAGCTCGTGGTCATCCCATCCTTATCCATCAATCTAGCCCGCGGCGGAGTGGTTAAGGATGTCATAGAGAAGTTTCAATTGCCCCTCTTTCCTATTTTATAAAATCTTTATGGTCCTTAGCTTTCAGTGTTACTCAAACATGCCCACTCATTTTTCTAAGTCACAAATCGCATGGCTCAAACTGGAAACCAAAAGGGTGACTTTTGTCGTGACCCGACTGTACAATGACGTGTTGCCCTGAATCAACCTCGACGAGACAGGCGGTAACACCCATTTTGAGAAAGGTTCGAAATTTGAAAGATAATTATGATGGCATTATCTCAGGACCATTTTCCCTGCGCTGATAAAATTGTAAAAGGAACTGTCTTTTACTTATTCTTTTTTTCCCCGAGGGGGGGGGGGGGGGGGCACATGAAATTTCGGAGCTTATCGGATAAATCCGAATTGACCAAAATTTTACCGGCTGGTGTTTTTCGCAGTTTTCCGGATTTATTCGAATACACGGAACCCTGCATACATCCTAGATATATAGCACTGCATTTGAACCAGAGAAATGTCTTGCTTGCGCTTTAAAAGAAAACTGAAGCAATTGTGTATTAAAGAACAAAACAAAACAAAAACACACTTAAATAGCCTTCATTTAACCTCCAGGAACACAAATATCAATATTATTTTCTAATTTTGTGCACGGAGGCTGCAGAAAGTTATGTTCGAAGTACCGCAAAATCTCTTTCCGGGCCGTGACGTCATATTAGGAGTTTTCGGAATCTCCGCTCTGCGCATCTCAGCGCCGATTAAAGGTATGCTCGCGCGCACCCTTGCTAATCTAAAAAAAAAAAAAAAATTTGAAAAGAGACGTAACAACAGATGTCATTGCGGGGAAAGCCTGACAAGCTTGCAATTGCACGCGCTGGCAACACGAGCGACACGTGCTTGACGGCACAAAGATCCTAGTATGACATCGCGACTGTTCGGAGGTTGTTAGTGTTTTCTCGGGTTCAGTTACATATTGGGGAAAAAGCAAACGTAGTATTCAGATTCAATGGGTAAAAATAGGCCAGAATTTACCTTTAACTCGTTTTTCATCACGAAGTGTTTGAACTTTCCTTTAAACTAATTTTAAGCCAGCTTTATAACACAAATCCAAAACGACGTAAAATTCCGAGCTACTCGTAGCTTCCGGGTTTTTTTAGCCATAAGATATTCAATAAAGTTCACTTTACTTGTTTATTGTTGAGGAACATGTTATTATATATGTTTCTAAAGCTTATGTGCGAGTCCCGTAATTCTCTTTAATATTGTGTTTCAAGTTTTAAAAAATCCTTTATCGCGATTTAGTTGTGGAGTGTTAATAATTTCATAAATATATAAAACTATCACTTTAGTCACATCGACACTTGGGAAGTGTGGGCTAATTCACGCTAGCAAATTTACATTTCCAGTGCAAACGCAACTCAGTTGTTACCACCAGAGCACGTTTCAAACTTATAAGGTACAGGAAACGATGTGTTTTGAGGAACCTTTATAAACATTTAAAACATTTAAAAAATCACCGCGTGGCAATCCGACTGAGAAAAGATTGATGCACCGTTTAAGACGCCTATGACAAGAAAAAGTAAATCTATATTATAAAACAATGGAAGATATTTTAATGTTGTCATGGAAGCAAGTGCAACCTTCGAGAACCAGTGTTATTTGTCGCTTGCTGTAATGATTTACTTTAGAATATGTTCGGTCTTTGTCAAATGTTCACTAACTCCACAGTGTTGAATGCAAAGTAGTAGCTTGTTGAGGTAAAACACCGACCTCTTTCGGGAGCTTGGTGTACTCCAGGCAGCGCTCCAAGGATACAATTTGTTGAAACACGTTGAACATTATTAAGCAGATGGTCGACAAGGTCAACGGAACCTAGAAAAAAAAAACACAATTAGCAAAAAATAGACAAAAATCGTACCACGTTAAATAAACATTTTAAAAACACTATAGTAACAGCTACCAACTGCTAAATTCCGACTACATGTATCCTCTTGAAGTTAACGTGGAGCCAGCAAAATCAAAATTAAAAGAAAGAAAAGGTTATTGACCAACTACAAAAGTTCAGAGGGAACGCCCGCCACCTTCCACTTTAGCCGAGTGAGCGGTGGAATGAGGTAGCCTCCTTTTCAGCGTTTGCTCTATAGACGCTTTTCACACGCGCAAAATTACAGCCGCCATTGCTGACCTTCTCTTGTCTTTCCCATATGCCGAGCCACTGAAGCGAGCGTTGACGAGCCTCCACAGAGCCCAAGGCTGTGGAGAAGGACGCAGTACAATCTAAAATATCAATAACCTGCCCTGCAGTGGTTATGATGAAGTGAAGTAAATGTAATAAGAAGAAACAAAAACTGAAGGTCAGTTATGGCGGCGCCCATGCACAGCTGCTGCAAAGCGTCTATACACCAACTCATCTCTGTTACGTCACGGCGCGGTGGTGGCGCGTCGGACGCACTTCCGGTCTGGGGCTGTGGGCGGAAGTGCCCATTTGAGACGTGTATTCCTGTGTTGTTTTGAAAGGAACCAGACAAAAACCTGCCTTGTCGCCAAAATGCTGCGACTGGGGCTGTACCAAGAGAGTCGAGAAAGGTTTGAAGGTCAGTTTTCATGCGCTCGGTTCGTCCGAGAACGCGGATATGTGCCGTGAAAAGGGAAAACCAGACGCCGTCGGACAACGATTGCTTGGGCGGGAAGCATTTTGGGTTAAATTCACGGATACTGCTGGCCATCAAATTTATTTGTTTGGTTCCAAAATGAACGCCGGAAAACCGTCAAGTTGTACGGACCACCTGCGGACTACGTTTAGTGCGTCTTCAAGTTCAAACGGTCGCCTGATCGTTCGAACTGTCGTCTGCTCTTTCAAACGTTTCTGCTTGTCGTCTGCTCTTTATAGGACACCGGCCCGTAGACCAAACGTGGGCCCGGTACTTGCGATAAGAATTAAGTGCAGGCCTTAAAAGACTTAAGTTTGAAGGTTAGGTAAGCAGGCTCGACGTAAACAGCAGATACAAGGAGATGTTGATCATTGTTACCACTGGCCTTCACCGACTTGTAATGCCTGATTCACTTCGTTAGATTCTGCTTGCGATTTTCAGAATCGACGTCGACCATCTCAGCTACGGTTCACGCTTTTGCAGTCCGAACGACGTCGCTACTGAAAATTGCGAGCGAAATCTCATCATGTGAATCAGGCTTTAGCGTACGTTCTGCGGCGTCCACGCGGAATGAATCGCCGCATGCCAGATTATTCACGCGAAGTTTTGCGGTGTAACGAGCCTCGTTAATTTCGCTGACGCTGCTCAAGTAGTCAGACATCGTTAGGAGGACGTAGAATCAACAGTTCCAACGCGAAAAAGAGCGCGGGGACTCACACCGGCGCCGACAACATCGCATTTCAATGGTTTGTTTATGGGCGACGGCGAGCTTTTTGCCCACACCCCCATCGCGCATGCGCGGCGCCGGTGGCGTCCGCTAGGGGCGCTCCGGGCGCTCCGGTTTGTTTGTAAACATGAGTTGGTGTATAAGGTTGGAAGGGCTAGGAGTGGTTTCTCCCAAATTCTTAACGTATCACTGACTATTGGCGAGGAGATAAAACTATAGGGTATGTTCTTTCCAGTTTGTTTTCCCTGTGGCTAAGTGACTGTGGACTTGATTCTTTACGTACGTCGTGAGTGCTCAGGGTGTGAGCCCTGAACCTGCAAAGACCTGTGCTGTAGCTGAATTTTTGAAGCCATCAGACGACAAGGCAGTACGAAGACTTCTTGGGCGGTACGCGCACTACATACATTTCGTTCGCGATTTTACGAAAATTTCTACACCACTCACGTACCTGACGGAGGACAACGTAACAATTCAGTGGGAAAATGAGCAGGAACGAGCGTTCAACGAACTAAAGCAAAGACTCCAGTCGCCCCATATCCTCGGACATTTCGATCAGTCAGCAAAGACGGAAAATCACACGGACACCAGCAACACCGAACTCGGAGCGGTGCTCGTCCAGCGAAGAGAGGGAACAGAGAGGGAGATCGCTTACGCGAGCAGGGTCTTATCCAAGACAGCGAAATTACTCAACGACCGACAAGGAGTATCTTGCCGATGTCTGAACAATAACAAAGTTCCATCCGTACTTGTACGGGAGCCCATTCCGTGTAGTTATAGACTACCACGCCCTCTGTTGGCTCGCGAACCTGAAGGATTCATCAGGACGCCTCGCCAGCTGTAGATCTTCGTCTTCAAGAATTTCATCTCACCATTGTACTCCGGTCACAAGCACAGCCACGCCGACTGTATGTCTGGGGCCCCAGTTGAATCTCCTCCCACAGGCAATGAAGACGACGACGACGCAAGTTTCTTTGGCGCTGTTAGTGTTACCGACATGTGAGCACTTCATATAAACTACTGGAACTTCGTGCCGTGATCGACCACCCCGAAAGTGGAGGAGGTTCAGTTCCCCGAGTATTTTCTCAAGATCTGCCAAGTTTCGTCTTTCGACGAGGTTTACTCTTCAAAAATAGCTTCGAAACCAGCAGCCCTGCGTTCCTGCTGGTTCTCTTTAGACCAGCCTTCGAGGCGAAATTTTTCAAGCTTTCCACGACGACCCAAAGGCTGGACTCTTCGGCTACACTAGGACACTCGCCCGGATTCGGGACAAATAGTACCAGGTCGTGTCATGAGCGGCAACGGCGTAAGAAGCCACCAACAAAGTCAGCAGTACTCCTACAGTGGGCATCTGCACTGACTACGCCCTTCCAGCAGCTAGGAATAAATTTGCTCGGGCCCTTCCCACCGTCGACGCGGGGGAACCGCTGGATAATCGTTGCCACAGATTATCTCACACAATATGCGGAGAATAAAGGGCTTCCGTCGGGAACAGCGGTGGAAGTCGCCAAGCTCTTCATCGAGGCCATCCTCCTTCGTCACCACGCCCCGGAAGTCTTGATCACAGACCAAGGGCGATCTTTCATGGCACAGCTGGCGCAGGAGTTCCTTCGTGTCAGCCACAACAGCCATCGTCGAACCACCGCTTATCATCCACCGACCAACGGGCTTACGGAGCGGCTCAATAAGGTGATCGCTGACATGATCTTCATGAACGTCGACATAGAGCACAAGACATGGCACGAAGTATTTCCGTACGGCACATTTGCTTACATCAGGGCTGTTCAAGATAGCACCGGGTTTACACCATTTGAGCTGGTGCATGGCAGAAAGGTGACGACCATGCTTAACTCGGTGCTGCCCCATGAGCCAGGGGATGACCGAAGCGACGATGGCCATCTGATCAGTCAGAAAGCAGAGGAGGTGCCTGCTTGCCCGGCTTTGAATCCACGATCAACAACGTGCCAACGCTCGCCGATACAACCTTCGGCGCCTTGACGCCCACTTTCGTTCCGGAGACAGAGTGTGGGTGGGGACACCAATTCGTCAGAGCGGTCTCAGCGAGAAACTCCTCAAGCGATACTTCGGGCCCTACAAGATCACTCGACGCTCTCGGAGATCTCAACTATACAAAGTTCTTCCTGAGGGAAAGCGGACACCTGCAAGGCGCTAGCTACAACCCGAGGGGGTGTACGTCGTCCACCTCGAGCCATATTCCGATCGATAGAGATGCGGACTGACTGAGAACTGTGACTTCTGAATGTTCCGTTCCGTTTTCTTGTATTTAATTGTGTGCTGCATCGGCGTGATGCGGTTTTTAAAGGCTGAGTAATGTCACGTGCGTGGCCGAATGGAAACACACACGACCCGCACGCAGAGGCCCCAGGTTCGAGTTCTGAGGGCCGCGCAACATTTATTATTTTGTTGTAATAATAGTTTCTACAACGCCCGAGAAATTCGAAAGCAATTCAGAAAGCTTTCTAAAAATGCCATGTTTTATTTTCTTCTAAGACTCGGGTTGTTTGAAGTGTGACCCTGATTTTGATTGCCCCAAAAAACTGTAAAACGCACTTTTCTTTTTTAAGTGTGTCAGCCCAAAACCGTTTCCCTTCTTCTTTTTTTTTTTTTTTTTTTAGTAGGTGGAGGGGGTGTTTTTTGAATCAGAAGTGGGAACTGTGTTTAGAATAGAAGGGGAAGATATCCTTTTGTTAAAGTTTGAAGGTGGACGTATATTGCCTTATTGCGTCGACCTGTATGTAAGGCTGTGAACGTTCTTACATTGTGTGATGGAAACTGACGCTTGAACTGTATAGACTTCGTCCTTTCTTTGGTGGAGATCACCTTCAGATTGAGACTATATAACAGGGGTGGCCACGCTTACCCGGCCTAAGAGCCGCAAACAAAACCACAAAACTTCCAAGAGCCGTGGGGGGGAGGGGGGGGGGGGGGCGAAAACTTTTATTCAGCGCAATAAACGAAACTCGAACTACTTTTAATCTATCCGAGTCAAAAGCAGTCCAACTGTATATAAGGTACCAGTAGCACGAGACTACCAAACCGCAAGCTCTCTTTCAATTTAAAACGCGTTCCATTTCTCTTTTTGGGGAAGTGTTCCTGTGACCTGGAGGGAGGTGGGTGTGCGTGTTTGTGTGTGTGTGTGTGTGGGGGGGGGGGGGGTAGGGGAGGGAGGCGCAAGCCACACTTTGGCACGCGAAGAGCCGCATGCGGCTCGCTAGCCGGAGCTTGGCCCCCCCTGTATAGGGAGGTGGACTAAATAAACGAGTTAGCTGAGTTTGAGACGGCGTACTGTCTATTTTCTGTCTCTTCTACGTTTTACTGTCTCTTGTCCACCCCAGTCTCAGGTTAATCGAACATGGCTAGTTCGAAAGTTCGCGAAACCCGTGCGTCAACAAAAGGCGCTCCGCGTGTCTCTAGGAGGTCAATTCTTCACCAGCGCTCAATCTGCCACTACGCCGACATTCACGCTTGCCTACGACACCTGCTATTATTCTTATTTTGTTTTGGCCATAAGTTCGACCCTTTAAACGCTTAGTTTTTTTCAGTTATTTGCCACCTTTTCATTTGTCATTCGTGTGAATAAGACGCAACGTGGGAGAGAAAGTAAAAAAAAAAAGTATTTGCATTATTTTGCGCCTAGTCTGGAGGCATAGTTCATGCAAATAAAATTATTTACTCGGTCTCGCTCTCTTTTTTTTCCCTGTTTTTCACGTTGCGCCCCTTTTCGGGACAACGTGTGATACCAAAGTATTGAAGGCATTGACCGATCGTCTCCGTACGAAAATTGGGAGAGTCGTGAGGGATTTACCCCTGCTTTCTTATTTAGTTTTCCTTTTAATATTCATAGCGCCCTTTTAATATCGTACATTAGAGAGACGAGCGCCGGCGTAGTGAAAAGATTCCAAAGATTTTCTGCTAAGCTCGGCGCCACGGCGCCCTCTACGCTGACGAGATTTGTTGGCGGCAAGTACATACAATAAATAAAGTGCGTTATGATGCGGAAACTCGGCGAATTTTGCCCGAAGGCTTTTACATTGCACATGTCATCAGCACAGGGACTAATACGTCGCGCGCAAAGCGAGCGTGCCGTCAGGCGAAGTTCTTCAGCTTTCGTCGCATTATTCGATCCATGGACTTCAGCCTTTAGTGCACATCCTGTATATTAAAACCAAAATTCGTCGACGTCCCAAGACATTGCACGTTAGCGACCACTCGCGCTGCACCATGCAGGAGTGTATCGTTCAATCCTCGCCTCTAGTGCCACTAAATAAGCTACGCTTCAGAGTAACGACACTTGGCCATATTGTGTCTTAAAATCATGGTTGCCAGTTATCTGAAGCTTTATCTGAAATCACAGGAAAAGCCTTTCCGCCCTCCACAAATGTTTAAACAGTTCGTGACAGAGCAACGAAATATTGCATGACCTTCCTAACACCGAACCTAATACTGAGGAAGTCGCACTTTTGAATCATGACGATCGGCAGTTGCGTCTGCTCTGCATACGAGCCAAAATGGCGGCGCCCACAACAATACCAGGGAACCGAGTGCCGATACTCTAAGCGCAGCTCATTTAGTGGCTCTACTCGCCTCTACTTGATTACGTCTGGATGTGCTTGGAGCTGCTATAGTAACCGACAGCTTAAGAAGTGCAGGGTATGGCCAAGGACGCTCAAGCTTCTTGATTGGCTCTTTGGCGGTCATACCGGCAGATGCAGCAATCTGACTGGCTGCCGAGCGATAATGATATGCTCAAAACTCGCCACACATTGTATTTCTTAAGCTGTCAGTACAGCACAATAAAGTACTTGGATGTCTCCTGCAATGGTTAAGTGTCTACTGTGGGGTCTCGTACGAACGCCGCCATAGACATCAACAACTTTTATCATTTGTATATTTTTTTTGTCTCAAACCTATCGTCCCGAGATTTTAGTATACGGTGCTCGGAACGGGTCTTCGACTGGTGTGTTTCGCGTTCCGTACCGCCCGTGCTTCGAAGGTTGTCACTGGGTGTCAACAAAATACGACACCGGAGGTGGCGTCACGTGCTGTCGGATGTGGCAATCCTGGCGGTTGGTCGTAGAACTTTCGGCAAAAACGACGAGCGAACGCCAGTGTCCTTGCCGTCGCGGAGTCTCAACTCCTGGCTGCTGAGACTTCCGTAGACTATCCAGCTGAAGAGCGACCTGCAGCAGAACAGGCGTCTGCCACCTCCACCACCGCGGCTGAGACACCGCCAGGATCGCGACCGGCGACAGCAGGGAATTTTTATGACGTCATCATGCGGAAATGAAGGGACCACTTTTTTTTTTAAGGACGTAAACCCACCAGTCGGAGAAGCGTTCCAGGGCATCGTAGCGTAGGCAGCTTCTTTTACGTCTAATCACAATTTCAGCTTTGCCATTCAACAACCTCCGTAACGTTTGGGTCTCCCAAGTGCTCTGCGGACAAGTACACACAACGGATGTCTTAAAAAATAGTATTAGAAAATCTCTCGGCTCACTGCAACTGAAGAGCTCAGGGCCAGCCCAACACTGCTGGCCCTGGTGACGTCATCTGCCTCGGAAGAGAACGTGGTGGTCAGAATAAGCGTCGTGAGCACGACCACGAAGCCCAGGAGACTGGCCATGGTCCTGGCCATGCGGAAACAGGCTGTAAAGCCGTAGACCACTCGCATGCCCTCGTCCGTGAGCCGATAGAAGTGGTGGCAGAAGCGGTCTACGACGCCGTACGATCGGACGGTGCTCAGGGAGTCTACGGTCTCGGTGACGTGCTGGAGCAGCCTGGACACGTAGGTGCTCTCGAGGAACCGGAGGCTGATGGATGCTCGCACGACAATGCGCTGTGAAGAGAGGGGGACTGACATCAGAGACAGTGGGGCTATGGTTACCAAGAGGTTAAGAATGGCCGGGCGTGGGTAATCACGAGCACCTTATCATTGGTCCGCAGTCAATCAGTTAGTAACATCGGCTGATAAGGACGCCGAAAAAAACAAAAAAACACTAAGCAAAAAAAAAAAAAAAGAAAACACGAACAAAATAATTTACTTTTTACGTTTTTTTAACTCTCAGTCAGCCAACAAGGTAAAACGAAGGACGTAAGTGTAGATTGATTCATATTAACGCAGGTTAGATTCATGTCCTCAAGTTGGCAAGATTGCGCAATACGATTCTTGGCGAGGCGCTACGCCTGCAATTTGGCCCATTTCCCACCAAATTTAACGGGAATTCAGCAATTGAAATGAACAATTAACGATTGACTGTTTTTTTCCGGTTGGTGTCGAAGACACAGTTTATTTTTAAAATTGGCGAAAGGTTTCATTGGGAGATGGTTTGTACTGAGAATCTTTCATAAAAAACGTAAACTGTCTTCCTCCCCCCCCCCCCTCAAATGAATATGAAACAATATAAACAAAACTACCCAAACCATCCTCACTTTGCTTTTCTGTCGGGAGTAGTTAAAGAAGACTTCTTCCGGTGATTGTTTGTTTTCGACATTATTAGATGTATGAATGTAAAATAAAGCGCATAAATATGCACTGCGCGGCACAACATAAACAACAAAAAACGTTTTTTTTTCACTTTTACTCAGACAACATATTAGCAGACTCAGACATTTACCCCTTAATGCTGCACCGAAGATACATTTTTCACAGCACTAGAAGTTTTGCTGTTAACGTCTAAATGCTGTGAGAAAAAAAGAAACACACACAAAAAAAACTACCGATCGCTTGTTCTGGCTAGCAATGAACAGTTTACATGCGCTAGTGTTTTTCTTGACTTGTAAGGCCTCATTAACTTTACGAGTGCTTCTGGTTTTATTAAAACTTTTGCTGATATTGTCACTAAGGGCAATGATGAGGCGTCAAATAGAGAAACAAAATGTTTTGGCGAACTTGCGACCAAAACAAAATTAAACAAGGTTAGCGTCGGAAGCGTCGATGTTCGGCGGAACAGCAGGACCGAGCACTGGGGCGAGACTGACTCCGGCTTGCCTCGCGGAACCCCGTATGTACACGCGTGGGCTCCTGAAACGGTCAGCGTAAAATGTTCAGCTCGCAGAACATTCGGTCCTCTGACAAGCAACAGGGTTCTTGGCGATGGCCCAGACAACGGCGAGGCGTTCCTTTTTCCGTCGTAGAGTAATTACCCTCCTCCTTCGACAGTGTCCGGCTCGCATAGGCAATTACCCGCTTTGTTCCCTCCTGTAAATGAACCACCCCTGCACCAAGCGCCGTGTTACTTGCGTCCGTGTGAATTTATGTTCGTGCACGCTAGTCCAAATGGCAAAAGAAAAGAGGTGTTTGAAGTGTTCGTTTAGGCTTGTCGAACACCAGCTGGTGCTCTTCTGTCCACTGAAACTTGATGGCGTCGTTTGTGTGTTATGTCAGGGGAGCAGAAAGCTTCGCAAAATCTAGAACGAAACGCCTGTAGTAGGCACAGAGACCGAGGAATCTCTTACGGCCTTTTCTTTTTTGACGGCGGGAAAATTCGGCTATGGTGCTCGTCTACTTTGGGTTAGGACGAGCACCGTTGCTGCTCACGACGTGTACTAGGAACGTGAGCTGGCCATGAGCGAACCGAAATTTGGTTGGTTTGAGAGTTAGTCCGGTGAACCTGATGGCTCGAAGTACGGCGCGGAGTCGTCATAAGTGCTCGTCGAGGTTGCTGGCGAACAGAACAATGTCGTCGACGTAGACGAGGCAGCTCTGCCATTTTAAGCCTGCTAGCACGGTGTCCATGGCACGCTGGAAGGTCACCTTGTGCTGTGTATACTCTGAAGGGCATCACTTTAAATTCGTCCAGTCCGTCGGGTGTGAGGAAGACAGTTTTCTCTGTGTCCCTTTCGTCAACCTCGATCTGACAGTAGCCACTCTTCAAGTACATCAACCAAAAGTATCGGGAGTCGCGCAGACGGTCTAGGGTATCGTCGATACAGTGGAGCGGGTGTCTTTCTTTGTCATAGTAATGAGTCAAAGATAGTCCATACAGGATCTCAGGGTTCCGTCCTTCCACTTTACGAGCTCGACTGGTGAAGCCTATGGACTCAAGACGGCTTGATGATGTCATCATCGAGCATTTCCTGAACCTGTTCTTGGAAGAATTCCGTCTCTTTTAACTAGACACGGTATGGTGACTGGTGGACTGTGTGCACGTCGCCGTCGGTAACCGTGCGATGCTTTGCCACTGGTGTTTGGCGAACTTTCGACGACCTAGCAAAACAGTCACTAGCTGTATTAATCAAGGAGATCAACCAGTTGTCGGCGCTTTGGAGCTGGGAGCTCGGAGTTGATGTCGATCTTTGGAGGCGGCGCGCTCTTGTGCTGTGACGACGAGGCGCCGGAAGCTCCTCTACGTGTCCTACGGTGGTATCTTTAGTTAGGTGCTGCGGCTTCTCTCGAAATTTAATCACGAGAAGAGTTGTGCGTACTTCTTGGATACCTGTTACGCCTCGTGCGACGCCAATTCCTTTTTCAAGGAGTAGTAGGGCGGTACCTTCCAGTAGAGCTTGACTGCACATGGCTGCGCCATTTACGAAAACACTCGACCGCGGCGGCAGGTTCATATGGTCGGCAATAACTCGGATCGCGGGTGACGTCAGGTTGGGCTCCATCGGCGTAAGAACAGGCTTTCGCAGCGTCAACTGGTTTGCCCCGAGGCTGATGACTGCGCCATACTCGCAGAGAAACTGCATTCCGAGGATAACGTCTCTCGCACAGTCTTGCCGAACTATCAACTTATCAGGGCACGTTGCAGCATGGATCCCGACGCGAGCGGTGCATCGGCCGGTTGGTGTGATGAGGTGCTCTCCGGTGGTTTATATTTGAAGTCCATCCTACAGCGTCGTCACTTTGCGAAGACGGCGAGAAAGCTTCGCACTTGATGACTGAGTTGTCTGCTCCGGTGTCCACGAGTGCCGATGCGTCGAGGCCTAAGATAATAATGTTTAGGTTGTTGGGCACCGTTGAAGGAGCGTCGTTGCGATGCGTGGCGTCGGGAGAGTAGGAGCGCTCCGTTGTTCTTGTAAGCTCTTCGGTCGTCTTCTGCTACGCCACCTCCAGGCGTTGCCGTACGCAGTTTTCTCCGACGAGATAGGGACGGGGGTGAGGTCAGGCTCTCCCGCCGAGAGCGGCGGAAGGACGAAAGCGCACGTCTAGGCGAAGGCGAACGGGAACCTCGTGGTAGAGTCGGCACCGGGAACAGGGGCCGTCGGAGGTACTACTCGATACTCGATGTCCCTTGATCGCTCCCCAAGGTGGGGTCGCGGTTCACTCGCCGGAAAACCTCGCCACCCCATTTGTCGGTATTGGCACTTCCGGTATTCGTGGTCGGCCTCGCCGCAATGATAAGAGGGCGGTCGTCGATCGGCCGTACGCCACAAATCCATCTTCCAGGCGCCATTTCCTGCGGACGAGCTGGGGCTGCCCCTCACGACGTCGGAAAGGCAGCGGCGCTGGTAGGTCACGTCGAGGCGGCGTAGAATACTGTCAGGCAGCTTGCGCCGGTTATTTGAGCTACTGCGGCGTAGGTCAAAGTGGGCTCCTCAGGTGCTGTTACAGTGGCAAGAGCTTCCGGTTGGAATGCCCGCTGAACTTTCTGGGAGCCGAGGGTGAAAAACGAGGGAGGGGGCACGTGACAGGCGGTCGGCAAAGTCACGAGCTGGCACGAGGCAGTGCGTACTGAGCGAGGCTGGAGCTGGGCGAGAACGTCGGAGCCGGGCTGCCTGGCCTGGCCCATGGCGAACCCCGGAGCGGTCCAGCAGCGAGGTTCGAAGTCCGGACCGGTGGAAACGGCGAGCCCTGGCCATATGACCTGGGCTACGACGATTCCGGGGTGCTTCCGCAGACAGACTCGGGCAGTGATAGCCCGAGACAGCCAGCCTACGCAGCACTGGCGTGGGAAGGACGATCCGCAGGCCTGGACACGGACTCCGACTGCGAGCTCTGATCGACGGGCGACAACAAGGGTCGGCGTGCCCGAACTGCCGGTTCTCGACCACGGGCAACCGGGAGGTACAGTAAACCCATTCGCTGTCTTCTCGTTGTGTTATGTCACTCCCTGGGTGACGGGCGGAGAGCGTATACCGATCGGGCGGCAATTATTATTGGAGGGATTTCCGTAAAGAACCCCACAACTTCCTCTCGGACAACTTCGACTATCGATAGCAAATAGCAAAACCGGCTAGTTGAGAGCAGGCAAAAGCTTCCCGAGCTCTTCCCGGGTGACGTCGCGAATGATCTTGTCAAAGTCTGGAATGCTGAGTTTAAGATCGCCGCTAAAAGGCCCGAGGGCAGCGACGCCGTGTAGTCTCTGGTAGTGACCGGCTAGGGCTTGCAGGGCGCGCTCGAAGTTCGTGGCCTCGGTGGCGAAACCTTCGACTGTTGTCGGCGGGCTGCATACAGGGCCGCCGAAGATATTGTCCTTCACGATAGCATGAGGATTCTTAGCTTCTTCTCCTTTGCAGTCTGAGGGTTGGCGCGGGAGCTCAGGCGCAGAACATCCTCCACGAAGCCATTGAAGCTCACGCTAAGGTCCTGGCTGCTGGTTCGAAGTACGTCTTCAGATCTCTCTTGGCGGTGTTTGCTGACAAACAGCCGCTTCAGCTCGCTCTTGGAAACGACCCACAATGTCAAAGAGGACTCATAATTTCCGTGCCTGTGCATGGCAGTCCCCTCAAGCAAATATTACACGTTGTGTAGGCGCTGCTCGTCGGTCGAGTCAGTGTAGCGGGCAACGCACTTGTACTGATCTATCCAGTCTTTGACGTCTTCTTATTGTTCGCCGTGGAACGGAGCACCCTTAGTGGTGGGACGGGCAGGTAAACGATGGTAGAAGTGGCAGGGGTCGGCGACTGCTCGGCCATCGTCTTATTCTTCGGCTTGGGCTCGTCCAGCAGCAACAAAATTCAGAAGGCTGCCCTTGGGTGCGGCGGTCGGCCTGAGTTTCAGGTTTTTCAAAGAGCTTTTTTCTAGCTTGGAATCCAACTTAGTTGACGGGTTTGCGGGAACAAATGAGGAACCTTAAGCATAAGGTGCTCCCTGCACCTCACCTAGAGTGTGATAAGGCGGCGAGTAACTGGAGGAATAAATCATTTAATGGGGCGATCGAACCTGTGCCCAAAACCAAACAGTAGAAAGTTAGCGCCGCAGGCGTGGATGTCGGCGGAACAGCAGGATCGATCGCTGGGCCAAAACTGACTCCGGCTCGCCGCTCGGAGTCCCTTATATACACGAGTTGGTTCCTGGAACAATCGGCGTAGAATGCTCGGCGCGCAGAACATTCGGTCCTTGAACAAGCAAAAGGGTTCTCGAATTAACCAGAACGCGACATTCACAGAAATAACAAAAAGGTACATCGGCCCCCAGGCACCAAACCTCGGCCCCTTTGCATGAGAGTCAAGCACGATAACCATGCATGCTGTCACGGGCGTGCTTGCTCTGAGATACGCGTGGCAATATCGAAATTACCTACACTGTTTGCGAAAAGAGAGTCTCGCTATTGAACGCTTCAGCCATACTGGCACGTAATATTTAATGTTGACAGTCGTCACAAAATTGTGTTGACGTATCTGACCGAAGATGAAATAAATAATTCCTGTCGTCTTGCTTCCTAAAGCAGTTCACAACAGAGAAAAACAATGCCACCGCAATGACTTCTTAACACCTTATCTACCATCGAGAATGTCGCCAGAATTTTCCAACCCGTGCTATTCCCGCTCGGCTCTAAGCACCGAATCGGTGGCACGTACGGGACGCTGGTGTGTTAACCAATGTCAGGTGACGCTGAGACAGATGAATAGACGCAACAACTTTGTTGGACAGTGGCTAAAAGAAAACGTAAATAGCTTTCAACGTGCCTTTCTAATTGCTCTAGCTTACCATTCCCAACCCGAGTAAGATGGCGGCGACGAACCCCACGGCCAGAATCAGCGGCACCTGGCTGCCGATGACAAACAACCGTGCTAGCATGAGCAGGGTGTTCTGGACGCTTTGTTTTCCGGTCAGGTACAGTCGGGTGTCGATAGCCTCGACGTCGACGGTGAAGCGGTTCAGAAGCCTTCCACGCGGATGGGCGTCAAAGAAGGACACCGGACTGTTGAGCACGTGGCTCAGCATGGATTGGTGCAGGGTGAGGGACAACTGACGGCAGCCGATGGCCAGCAGCGCACCTCCAGTGATCCGGAATAGCACTGAAGAAAAAGTAATTCCACGTTGACAGTGTGGTTGACTTCCGAAATGTTCACGACCGATATTTTCTATTTAGTTAAATATGTATAAGTGTGTATTTCATCACTTATAATATGCGAGGAAAATATAAGAGCGAAAGAAATAGAGGAAAGCACAAGAAATGTGTAATTACTAGTTCTTAAGAAGCAAATCTATAGACATATTTTCAAAACAAAGTGTGTTTCATTTTATTGTACAAACTGTGGTTACATGATGGAATACCGTTCAACCACCCCTTTTGTTTTGTGTGGAGATGTGAACGTATCGAGATCCGAGTTCGAAAGTTGTCAAATGTTTAAAATAGTTCTAAGGTTTGAACTCGCAGTTTGTGGTTTTATAAGATTGAAGTCCGAGTTTAGTGGGCTCACATTTTCTTGAGGATGAATATAAACAAATTTTAGGCTTTCTACTTTTTCAGGTATCAGGCTCAAAATTTTTATATTTCTTAAATTTCTTTCACATTCAAGAACACCAAGTTTCAAGTCTTTAAACCTCTCAGAAGTCCGATTTCTACATGTACCACCTGCACAGGTCTCAAGAAAAAGCTGCCTAAGTCATTGCGGCCATCAGCATATCTCTATAGCATGCATTTCCATGGTACTTATATGTCTAATACGTGCATCTCTATGGAACTTTACGATATCAATTATAATTTGATCCCTTGATTGCTTGACGATGACATGTCGTTGCCAGCAGTGTTTTAGCGTACTCGCCACTGATTCTCAGCAATCTAGGTGCTGAGAAAATATAAAGTAGCTTATGACTAAGAGGTGTTTGGAAAACAAGGTATAGTATATCAATTTACGCTGAAATTGTTTTATGGTTAGAAGATAGTCGATCTTTAGAACTTCTTAGGTTTATTTGCACAAAGTATAACAAAATACTTTTTAAATATTAAAATTATTGAATTTTGTATTTCAGCGAGTTAGACAGTCTAAAAATGGCCAAAGGCTTAACTTTATAAGTTAAAAAGATTGTGCAGTTCCTCAACGTCTTATGGTCGAGGGTTGGAGACGTTTCGAATCTTTCGAATCCTATTGTTCGACCTTTTAACTCCAGATTTAAAAAAAAAAAAAAAAAAAAAAAAAAAAAAAACGAAAGACGTTTACATATCTGCAATGCAAAATTAGAGGGCTAGCTCTTGAGTTATTTTGACTTTGAAATGAACCGTGGTAAACAATTTGAGAAAAAAAAATACAGATATATGTACAAATATAGATCACTCTCCTCACATAAAGGTTCTTCCCCCTGCTCCTCTTCCGCGTTCTCTTCCTCCTTCGAACCCTCCTCCTCCGTACCCTTTCCTCCTACTCCTCCGTACCGAACTCCCCTCCTCTTCTCCATACACTCCCCACCTTTTCCGTTCCCTCCCTATCTCCTCCTCCTCCATACCCTCCGCTGCTACCACAATTTACGCGCTAAATTTAGTTGGAAAATTGACACCACATGTCCTCAACACCAATTCAGTTCTCCCGCTATGTTTAGCGGGAAAAATGACGTCACATAACTTCTCACGCCACTTATAAACAAATTTAGTTTCTTCGCTAGATCCAGCGGGGAAATTGATGTCCCGTGATCTCAACACTAATTCAGTTTCCCCACTAAATTCAGCGGGGAAAATGACGTCACATGACTTCGTGGCACGTCAGCAATGAACACATACAGTTTCTGTATGTGATATCAAGTGACGTCATTTTGATATCAATATTGATATCAAGTGACCTCAACACCAATTCAATTCCCCGCCTTATTTGGCGGCGCGGTTATAGGGAGGCTCTAGTGAGGGTGGGTGCAACTTAAAACCTAGAGAGCGTTTGCAATTCAATGGTGGCGCCTGAGAGAGAGGATTCGGGAAAGGATATGCGCCAATGTTGCCTACACGAGAGCAGACGCCGGCTCTGTTGCAACTCTGTTGCTCCATGCGCCTTTCCTCCTCTCGCCTCCCACTGCAAGCAACGAACGCCTTGGCGCAGCCTTTCTCGCTTCCTTCTCGCTCCTGGAATCGCAAACGTCGAGAGGAGAAAGCAGGGTTGCCAGACAAGCGGCAACGTCCAAGATGGCAGAATTTACCATTTATCGCGTTAAACAAACATTTAACCTATCACAACAAAACTGGTGGCTATGGAAAAGTAATCATTTATACCTTGTGTAAATTATTCAAGCACCTTAATGGGCTCTTATGACCTGAGTTAGGAAATAAAACGACCATTTGCCCCATATACTCCCAGCAAAATTTAGCAATTAAATGGCGTCCATGTCCCGTGATCCCCGATGTAGCAGTTGCACTTACAGTCACTTGAGCCTCCCTACGCGGTTACGCCGACGATGACGCCGACGCCGCGAAACACGGGAACGAGCGCATAAGAGCTGCGCTCAAAGACGTTCGCGGCCCCACTTGTTTTATACCGTTCGAGATCTTACCATCGCACATGCATAAGACTACCAGGCCCCTGACCCAGAAAGGATCCCGTGGATCGCTGGTGGACATTGGAGAGCTGGCGTCGGTCCACTGCTTGATCCACAGTTGCTGCCACGCGAGGACTGCCGCACTGGCCACGAAGAAGGCGACCGCCAGGGGCATCCAGATACCCGAAAGCCTCAATAGGGAGCACGAAACTTCTAATGAACCCTGCAAGCGAAGTGCGTTGTCATATGGTATCTTTCGTCGCTTAGTACTTACTAGGAACCGCAAATTTGTTTCAAGAAACTTCCGCTTTAAACGTCGTATTTACAGTTTGTTATAAATGTCAAGAGCGTTAGCCGCCGCCTATAATGATGGCCTCTTACTGAGGTATGTCGAAGAATTTTTTTTTTAAGTTTTCAAATCTAGCACCTTCATTATAAGGAATATCAATTTTTTTTTTTAGAATGTGCTTTGCTGGAGATGAATGAGCGAGACTATGTTTTTTCAAGAAATATTTATTAACTATTTTGGTTTCGCTACGGTAAGTAACTAGTTGTTAAAAATAGGTTTGGAGATATTTCAAAAATATTGTCAAGAGAAGTCAAGGCAAGCCTATCCTTTCCAGACGCAAAACAATAATAAGAGAAAATGCAAGAAATTTTAAATGTATCCCATAGTTGCTTGCAATATGAAAAAGAGTACTTCTTGCACTGGAACGGACGTAGGTATCATTTTAACGTGGTAATCGCTATTTGACATATTCTGCCTTACCCTTCACAAACCATCTCAAGGTCAGGCTTCCATAATTAATGTCGTACTAGTCCTTATAGAGCTAGTCTCACCATAAAGGAGGACGTCCGTTCATCTTGTGTCATCCTCCCATTTGAAATCTCTTGTTGCGATGTGGGCTTATCCATGCTAAAGTGGAGGGAAGGATACCCATTAAATTATGTTACAGTACTTTAGTTTGGTTCGACATTCTAATCAATTGAGAAAGAAGCTATGATTCAAAACTAAACAAGTAATATTAAAAGCAAGTGACATCAAGTGAAAGACGCATGAACCATGCAAGTTCCGCGATAAGAACATTAATAGAGGGTGGTTTGTTAGGAATCGTGTGGACACTGACGACGCAAAGAAAAGGGTGATATATCTTTTACTGTGCGGTCTTTATAAATTTGTTTTTTGTCAAGTAGAAAGAAGGATTGTGCACCCGCCTTCATTCCCCTTACTCTCCAAGAAGACCTAAGTGTAAATAACTGTTTCCCATCTCAGTCAAGCATAGGGAGAAAAAGAACTCATTTCGTTCCACTGTTTGGCCCTATTTTGCTTCCGATCACCCGTTGTATCATGAAATCAGCTGTAGAGAAGCATTAGCTGCAGCAATGTAGTCATCATCTATTGAAGCTAGAGTTTAAAATGAAAACGAATCTCCTGGTCTGGCATATGTTTATGCTTCTGGCTTCGTGATTCGTCCTACGGCATTCTTATCGGCGAATGCCGCCATCTCATAGGCCACAGAGCGATAATAAAGTGTTCTGGGCTCTTCATGCATTTTGTTTCGTAAGCTGTCTGCGACTATACCAGTGATGGAAGTGCTGCGCCAATTGCGCCAAATTGCGCCAAGGACGCAATCCTGCTACATGTAGTGCCAAATTGTCATTTTACCGAAGAATTGCGCCATGCCTGCGCCGAGATGAGATGTAGCAATAAAAATTAAAAATTGAAGTTTTATCAGAGCACATGGCGGTACCGCGGTATTTTCCGCGCCGCAACTGTTACGCAAACCGAAGCTGCAAGTGCGCAATATCATCATCATCATCATTGAAAGGAACAACATAGCAACATCTGAGACCAAAGCCGCTGAGGCTAAGCGAAGAACCATCCCACTGAGCAGCCTATTTAACAAAAAAAGAGGCTGAGCTTGTGGATGTTTTCAGTGTTGGCCCGCCCAGAGCCTTTTATACTGGGAGAGTTCGGCGGGTGGGAGGGGCTTACGGCCCGCTAGGTCTAGCGGACTCAGCGGGCGCCACTTCCGCCATGATGTGCCTCCCGGCGAGTGGGTCCCCATTGACATGCAATGTATACGCGTGTAGGTTTTGCCGTTTGCGCTTTTGTTGGCCTAAGGAGAAAGTCGAAAAATCAAGCATTTCGTTACGTTAATCATACGTGAATCATAAACTTACCTCGAACAATCGAGAACTCGGCTTCCAGTCAGCCCTTCTTGGTTTCCCAGATCTTGTGCCTTGCGCGGTTTTCTTTTCCTTGCGGGAACCGGTACATCCTGAACCCCTTTTTCGCGTTGTTCGAGCACCCAACGGCACTGCAGCCCCCCATTTCTTTTTCATCTAACGTCTGGCAGAGCGCAGCGCAGAACGATCATTTTCATCGTCGTCTCTCGCTCCACGGACTCTAGCGAGCCGACTGCCGGCTCGAGTCAGTAGGGCAAACGGATTTTATCAGCCGCCACCAGCCTTACACCAAACAAGGGTGAAGCTTGCAATTTAAGGTTATAATTATAATGCAATTAAATGCAAAGGTGCAACCAAGCTAGACGGCAAGGCACATCATGGCGGATGCGCACAGTTGCCAGACTGTTTGATCAGTGCTGCCAGACTGGCGGCTGGATCAAAGAACCGCCGAACTCTCCCAGTATAAAAGGCTCTGGGCCCGCCCTGTTCCCGTGCGCTGGCTACCAGCGAAGTCAAAGCTAGCGCGAGCCCAATGCTCTGTGCATTGCTGACTCACGCGTGGGCTCGTGCAGTGTGGGCACCGTTACGGGCTTCATGCGCGCGCTTGTAGCTTCGGCTGAGCTCGCACCGAAGCTAAAACGAAGTATAGTTGAGTTGTACCAAACTCTGGATTTAGTGCTGGTAAAGCCTCACCGTACTTTTCAGAGCACAAAGCACTGCGCGACTCGCGTGACTGCGGTGTCTGCTATGCGGGCGTTGCTTCTCTGCAGCGCGTCGGTGCATGCCAAGGAGCGCACTCAACGGGTTAACTCGCCGTGATCCGATCGTGACCTCGCCAGCACATCGAAAATGAATCGGAATTTTTGAAGCGAATATCAGATACCGCAATATTTGGAGCTGCTGCCCGAAAGACAACTCTAATCTAAACTAAAACATTCCACAACAGTGAGGGTCGTTAAACGCTGCTGCAGATACCTTAAAAGAAGTGCAGGCTGATAAAACAAAATATCCTGTACCATCAGAACTCAGTGTGGCATATTTAATTGTATTTTTTATCTGACGAGCAGATAAACTTTATTAAAAAAAATGTTTTCTTTTGTGTTTACTTAGTAGATTTTTATATATCCTGTCTTAAAAAGGCGACAGGCGCCATGGAGATGGGCTTTATATGGCAATGCAGCATTATTTCATTTTCAAGTAATATGCCAACATATGCCGGACCCTGCTCCAAAAGGGCCACTACCTGCTCCAAAACAACATTTTGCCTGCTACAAGGCCTGCTCCAAAAGGTCAAATGGCACTTCCATCACTGCTATAGTTGTATTTTTCGGAACTATACTCGTACTTCAGTGCACGCAAAAATGTTACGCACCTTCCAGGATCGCTTGACAGTGATCTCTTGGAAGACACGCCCAGCCGAAGTGTTTCTGGAGCTCGTTCGTCTTGGAATAGATCGGTAATGCTTTGATGCGTAATCACCGTTGTGCCGTCCATTAACAGTAGCTTATCCATGTTCTTGAGTATGTTGCCCTGGTTGCTTACCAGGATTCGAGTCTGTAACGTATGGTCGCATCGAAGTAATTGTAATTCTGCGGCGTGTATGTTTGTACAGTGGAATGTTAGTCAGCCACAATGGGCGTCGAGTGCCTCCTTTGTGTAGATGCGAAACGTGGCCAGCGCGCTACCACTGCTAGCCCGGGGTCTCCAACGTGTATCGAGCTCAGTAGTGATACTTGACCCCACGCCATTACGATGCTTTTCGAGCAAGCATCGTGCTGGAAGAGATTGAACACAGGGGACTTGGGTCCTGTAGCATGAGCTTTCGCTAAGCATACTCCGAGCTGTTTTGCGTTAACACACTCGCGGCCATCAATCCCCCTGGTCGCAAAATCAGTTGTCATTAGGGTGACCATCCAGGTGCCGTCGAAATGCGGGACACCCTGACCCGGAGGGGATGGGGAGGGAGAGGGGGGGGGGGGTAAGATGGAAGAGGACGTCACTTTTACGACTGAAGAAGAAAGTATTAAAGAAAATTCATCAACACGCCCACCCCGAAATCACGTGCTGCCCGAAAGCATATTATACACCTGAAAACTGTGTTGCGGCAATTGTAATGGTAAATATCTTATTAAAGGTGTCTAAGTTAAAAACATAAACATCGACTGCAGCAGACCCCAATGGAACAAAAGGAACTAAGAAACAGCAAATATTTTTCGGCTTATGGTTTCCTGTCGATACTTACTCCTACACTAACATGCTCCCACACAAAATTAGAAACTTATGGGGTTGTTTTTTCGACGGTTGGTAGTTGCAGACTTTTTGCCTTTTTTAACTGTCTTCACAAAAAAAAAATCTTATTACAACAATTTCTTTGCAGGACACAGTATAATTTGCCAATAATTCCAATAGTTTATTTCTCAACTTTTTGCGAGCAATTTTCGCTTGCTATATTTTGCCATCAAGGGGAAAGGCACAAAAGCGCGCGTCTGTCCCCTGCAAGAACGACGGTCGCTCCCGTACACCATTGTTCGAAACGCCAATATTTTTGTAGTGAATGTTACAACAATGTGAAATGCGGGACATTTTGAAGATTTGGGAATTTCTCGCGGGACGCGGGACACGAGCCCTCAATGCGGGACAGTCCCGCGAGTCGCGGGACGGGTGGTCACCCTAGTTGTCACGGGTTATGAGTTTTTTCCGCTTAATTTATTTTCGCGCGCGGCTCTTAGGCGCCCGTTTCCGGCTTGAGCGGCATCGGCGTCGCCGTCACCGTCGGCGTAACCACGCGGTGCATTATGGGTAAATTTCCCCGCTAAACCGCTAGACGCTAAATCTTGCGGAAGAAATTTTCCCCCTAAATTTAGTGGAAAAAACTTTCCCCGCTAAATTTAGCGAACAAATTTCCCCGCTAAATTTAGCGGAAGAAATTTCCCCGACAAATTAAGCGGGAAAATTTCCCCACTAAATGTAGCGGAAAAATTTCCCCGCTAAATCTAGCGGAAAAATGGTCCCACTAAATCTATCGGAAAAATTTCACCGCTAAATCTAGTGGAAACATTTCCCCCTAAATCTAGCGGAAACATTTTCCCGCCAAATTTAGCGAAAAAATTTCCCTGCTAAGTTTAGCAGAAAAATTTCCCCGCTGAATTTAGAGGAAAATGTTCCCCTAAATGGGAAGCGAGCAGGAGAGGAGGAGGGGCATAGCCCCCTCTCCGTACCTTCCCCTCCTCCTCCTCAAGAGCTGCGCTCTAATTCGGCGTTACAGAAGATTTTAAGCGTCTTGCATTTTTTTGTACCTAGTTTCACCTGTCAAAAAAAAAATGAAAATACAGATAAAAAAAAAGAGAAGAAACTCGATTTGAAAGTTTTGTTGTACATCGAAGCAAAAGAGAAGTTCCAGACACCCTTTATTTTCTTTCGCTATTTTTATTCCCATTTTCTAAATTTAATCGTTGCAGCAATCAACATATAATTTGATTAGTAAGGTGGCCGGTAATAGGAAGTGTAAATGCGATTGCTTTTTTAGGGCATAGACTTGTGTAAGTATGATACAATAAAACGTATAGATGCATATCGTCCGTTTCTTGTACGTTTTGGTTTATTTTTCGTGTTTTTTTTTTTGTTTGGATAGGGCTCAAAATGAATAAACTGGGAGGTACATGATGTTCATAATAAGAAAATAATGAGCATGCCCTTAAGTAAAGAAGTCATTAAATGGTGCGCAAACGCAAAGACAATTGACTGTAAAAGCCTAGACACACAAAAAAATAGCGATTCAAGTACAGGAGTATTCAAAGGCTGGCTGAAACACCAAAGAGTTTTAGATTATTTTGTTTCCTCACCCTGCTCTTTAGAAGCCCGGTGTTTCCCACAACTTGCGTGAATACCCTTGCGGCCAATGTAGGATCTAAAGCACTCAGCGAGTCGTCAAGCAGGCATATGGTGGATCGGGAGTACGCCGCCCGTGCTAGTGAAATGCGCTGCTTTTGCCCACCGCTTAGTGTTTCACCCTATGAAGAAAAAGAAATAAAAATTCAGCTGGATTTTAATCAGCCGTCCAAACTCTCATGTGAACAATTGTGTTTTATGAGACACGCAGCGGACGCTGGTATCGTCTTGAGGTCTTGAGATGGCCTTCATGGCACGCGCAGTGCTGTCTTTTCAAAGCGTCGCCTCGTGCTTATTTGCCTAATTTTTTTTGCAAAGCCTATGACTGCTGATTAAGTACCTTTGGAAGCATTGTGGCGTACACTCGTGCTTCTTTCCTTCATGTTATTTTTAATGTGGTTTTCTAAAGCTTTAGGTAGCTGGTCCAGTTTTTTCCAAGAGTCGCGGCGTGGTCTCGACCTCCTCTTCTACCGCTTTTTTTTTTTTTTTTTTTCGTTTCCAATATTTTTTGTTAGCTGGCCAAGCCTTTCAAACCGTTTCGGCGTTGTCTCGTCTTTCTTATTGCCTCCTGTTTTCCTGATGTTATTTTATAAATCTCTTTGCTGTTGGCCAAGTCTTTTCTAAGCGTTGCTGTTTAGCCTCATCCTCTACTCGTGCTTATTATGTCTTTAATTTGATGTTGTCTCGGAAAGTCATTGGGCTCTGGAAAACCCTGGTTCCTTCTACCATGGCATTCGAGGCACGTAACGAACGATCGTTAGCTTTGGTTTTCTTAAGAATGCAATTATTGCTTTAGCTTCAGTAAAGATGTAATTCAGGATTAAAAGCATATAGCTTAATAATTTCAGGCAAGTTCTTTATGCTGACAGTTTCAGTACATGTTATGCTAAATGGGCTGTAGCACCTGAGGTCCATGGGAAAGACCACACGTTAGAAGCACCAAGTAGAAACTGGTATCATGTGTTCTGTTTACTTTCAGGATTTTATTGGTCGTCCTATTTTCGTAGCAGATTATAAAACATTAAAAAAAAGCTGCGTGTGCTCAAGGTGACGGAAGGATCTGGTAGATTAGCCTATCACATAGTAGCTTCCAAAAACTATATAACACTACCAGAATTGTTTTTATCTGAAGCGAAAGAGTACTGAACAAAATCTCCACATCACTATAAATAAAAGATGATAAATTGTTCGGTCCTCGCTTATTGGTTTCAGCTAGCTGTAGTGACTGACAAAAAAAAAACGTTCTGATATTGTATTTGCTTTATTATAAAGATAAGCAGTGTTTCTTAGGACATTTATAAGAGAAGTAAGATGACCTATTAATAATGGCCGGATGGAATGAATTCCTCGCGGATAACAGGACCGTAGTTCTGCGTTTTGACGTAACCTATCGGGCACCAGAACAGGGCCCAGATGGAGCACGAATGTCGTGACAAAGTTCGGCGGGAATTTCTGTTCTCGCTGACGTGACACGTGTCTCCACCAAACTGTGACGCTGCAGATAAAATATGTGCCCCTTGCTTCTCTTTGTTAGGAAACGATTAAAGGTGCGTCACTATGGCTTTGTTTGCTATCCAGGTAGCAGGTTTAGAACTGAACGACAAGCCGCTCCCTCAAAGCTCTCTTATCGCCGTTATTGGTACGTGTTTTTCACCCGTCCAAACGCGCCCCTTCTCCAGCGTTCGTTCTGCTAAGGTAAAAAGTGTTCAGGATTTTTTTGAAGGAGAGGAGCTTGTGCTGCTATTCTTAACCTGCAGCAGACTCTCTGCTTCGAAGGCTTCTCTAGCTAGTGCGTAATCACTCACCTTTTCCCCTACTTCAGTGAGGTCTCCTGCAGGAAACCTGTTGATATCGCTGAGTAGCTCACAGGCCTCCAGGACTCGGTCGTAGCGTACCGGATCGAACTTCTCCCCGAAGAGAATGTTGTCGCGGACGGTCATGTTGTACACGCAGGCCACTTGCGGGACGTAACTGATGCGGCCCTGCGTCAGTAGTGCAGCGTCTAGAATGTGCGTCATTCTGACGTTACTACGCTCCAAAGAATCGAGTGTGTCTAATTTTATTTCGCAAAGTGTTCGGGAAAGCAAATCGGTGCAATATACGCAGAGATGGCATAGAATCGAAGCTCTGCTTCCACGTAACCTCATCTGCCCCCTCTGCGTCAACGTAACTTCATCGCACTCCGATGTTGCCAACTCGGCGACTGGGCCTGAGTCCGACACCGAGCGTCCTTCGACGCATATCTATGATTGGACACGAAGGCCCACCGAACGCTTACACAGCACTCGTGTCCAATCAGTGTCCACCCCTCAGACTCACTGTAATGACGCCATAATTCTAAGGCACAAGCTTTGATTAGTTTAGGCGCTGTTGGCTAGGCAGACGAAACAGTTGAAAGTGTGTTCAGACATAAAAAAAAATTACAGGAAGATTCATTCGTGGATTGTTAATGAATGCGTTAGCATGACCCTTGGGAAACGCCGCACACGTCCCCCATTGAGAAGCGCTAACGCTGACCCCTTCAGTTTTTTTTTTCTTTTGGATTTCTCTTTTGCTTCATCTATTTTTCGCTGCCTCTTTTTGGCCTCGTTACGGGGTCAGTATTAGCGCTTCTTAAAGGGAACGCGTGTGGCGTCTGCCAAATGTCATGCTAACGGATTCCTTAAAAATCCACCAATGTATCTTTCTGTAATTTTTTCGCCCTTTTTTTTGTACTCTCTGCCGGTTAGACTAAGTCGATGCCCTTGGATCCCGTCATCCATGTCACTTGTGGAAAGAACCACATCCAGACCACTCGGGCAAAGAACCAAATCCATACCACTCGCGGAGAAGTGTGAAGTTAAAACCATCGTTTTAACTTCACACACACAGACATACACATATGCATTCAATATTTGAAAGTATGAATACAGAAAACTTTTCAAATCAAAACCAATACAAAAAATAAAATAAAAATTGGGGTTTTCCATAGAAAAGTTATCTATAAGCTTTTTATCTCAAAATCATCAGAAAATCGTTGTGAAAACCCAAGAGGGGGAGAGAGGGGCTGCCGAGCGCAAGCCACCATCTCTTTAGTTTATCGTTTTTTGCGGTCACAGTCAAGGGCGACGGCGCTTTACGAAAAAATTAATGCTTTCGCATTAAAAAAAAAAAAAAAATATATATATATATATATATATATATATATATATATATATATATATATATATATATATATATATATATATATATATATATATATATATATATATATATATATATATATATATATATATATACTTGTAGTTCAGGGACACTGCATTAACTGAAAACAGACGACATCCCAAATTTAAAGGTATTGACCGAAGTCATCCTTTAAGAGCGCCGATTAGAGCTCTGCACAAGCACTCTTCACTTATTCTGAAGTAAACACCACATAGTTTTCTTAATGTTTACAAATTCATAGCCCAGCTTGTGATGTCCACAGTCGAGCATGCGCATGTTCGCCCGGTCGATAAACAAGCAAATCCCGTGTCATTAGCAAGAACGCTGAAAGTGGACTAAGTTGGCGAAACGGCGAGTTTGTTTATGACTTATAAGATTAAAAGTGCTGACAAAGATAAGAAGAAAAAAAGAGAGGAAAACAGGACGAACACTTATTCAAAACTGAACATTTATTTAACAACAACTAAAGCAAACAACCTCCGATAAAAAAAAAAAAAAAAAACGCGGAATCACTCAGTGACGTCAGTCATCACCACGTGTCAATAAAATCTTTCTCTTTTTGATGCAGAAAAATTGACGGCTGCTTGACGCAGCGTTCAGTGCGCTCTTTCTTTATAGCATGCGCTTCAAGCATTTTCCTCTCAGCTTTTTCGCGGGCCCTCCTCATGATCATGGGGGAAGTCCCTGAAAGTGGCCCTGGTCTGAAGTTGTTTTATTGTGAAAAGTCTCTAAGAGGCGGTTTCTAGAAAGACGGCCCAGATTAATCTTACGGAGGTCGTAATGGTGCCTTCTACGCAGTGCATATCCCCCAAGATGGCTGCCAGGAGCGAAGATTTGCCGCTGCCAACGAAACCAGCCAGTCCCACGAGCGACCCCGGCGCTATTTCCAGGGAAACAGATTTGAGCGTTGGATCGCTTAGGCATTCTTCCCTTTTGGTCCAGACGAAAGAGCAGTCGCTTAGAAGGATCTCGCCTGCGAGGAAAGCAATGGGCCGCGTATACAGCTTTCGAGCTAGCGCTCATCACTCAGGCAAAAAAATGCTAAGCCACCGGGCTGTTGACGGACGTGCGGTGTCTCATATACAGCCCAAGATAGCTACTGTGCATAAACAGAGAGCGTTCCACAGCCTTTGTAAACAAAGCTGACGTCACACAGACGGCAAATTTTGGAACAGCCGAGAGTCATCGAATTATTAAAATAGCCTAGAGCCTAGAATCATGGTATAATTTGAATCGCTAGAGCCAGGTCACGGCATTCAGTGTCACTATAGAATATAGCTTATATAAACCACGCGATGCCTCTGCCGTTGTGGTGCTGTAAACACGACGTCTGCGCAGACTCCTCACCTTACGTGAATCTAACTTCTGCCTTATCTCTCCAACTGCACCAACCTCACTACATTGGAATGTGATTTTTAGGCGTTCCATACCAATACTAAAGTAACTTGACATCGGTCCCTACGCGTATAACAACATCGTGGGGTGCGTGGACATGTTGGAACGTAGCCTCATGGCAATGTAAGCGTTATTGAAGGCGACGAAAATGGATACGAGAATTCCCACTGCAGCGTATAGGTGTTCTGCGTTAGTTATAAACTCACGAGCCGCGACTACCAAAGTTTAATAACGAAAAACATAAAATAATTTTGAGGAAAATTTCGAAAAGACTGCTTAACAGTAATAAAAGAAAAGAGACATTCCAGAGGGACGTGAACTAGTTTGAATATACACCTATACACCTGTATGGCCATGATCATAGCTGGGTAAGGATTTGTGTTGCAGGAGAGGCCACACCTCCTCCGGCTATTTCCTCTTTTTTCGTTCCTTAAGAAGAACGACACCAGTTTTAGTCAGTGCATATAGTGTTCCATAATTACAGTCCCTGACAAATTAAGAAACACAGTGCGTAGTGACTTTCGAAAATATTAATATTGCTCCGCAGCCAATCAAAATTCGGAATTGGTAAACAAAAAAAAACAAAAAAAAAACGAGGCAAGACGGAGTCAAAAAGAAACAAGCGCAAACAATAAAGTCACATCCCGTGTTTTTTCAGCTGTTATTGACGACAGAGCGCGAGAATCGTGAAAATAAAATTTGAACAAATCAATCGAAGGACGTCGCGTTCGAAAACAAAAAGAACACGTAAATACCTATACTACGTGTCAATTCAAGTCCCCTTACGAAAACCGATGCTGCGGTTTGATGAAACGAATTAGATAGCACCAAATGTATAGATCGTCACGGCTATTGTCGTCTTTGTGGGTTTGCTTATAGCAGCACCAATCACACACAAAAAATAAGCGACTAATCGCGGCACATTAACCGTGCGTGATTGACTGATATCCCGATTCACACGATCAGAAAGTTATACCTTAAACTAAGGGACGTTTATGGTCGCCAGTAAATCAGTTCCCACATCCTCCACGCGTGGCACGTATCCGTTCACGACCCACAGAGCGCGGGCTCTGTGGGTCGTGAAGGGACCTCGTTAAAGACCGACGACCAGTCCGCGCTTTCCACTTTTCGCCCACTACCTCCTCTCCCCCCTTCTACCCTGTCCACCGTTGCCTGTTTCCTCCTCCCCCATGGTAAGGAGGATCTTCTGCCTTGCAGAATCTAGAGTCTGGTTGTCGGCCTTTAAAGGTATGCGGAGAGCAAGTCGTCTGCTTGTTGCGCAGGAGTGGCCGTGACGTCAGAACGACTCGGAGCTCTGATTGGCCGATTGAAAAAGAAAAAAGAAATAGTGGGTAGACTTCAATGCTTGATACCTTGAGATGTACCCGCTATTTTTCTTTTCAATCAGCCAATCAAAGCTCGGCGTCGTTGTGACGTCACCGCCACTTCTGCGCAAAAAGCAGACGACTTGCTCTTCGCATACCTTTATCCGGGGCCCGTGTGAAATTGAATATAACAAACGCGCAACAAACGACTAGAGTCGTAAGGATGGTTTTTTTAGTTCTGCCTGATCGTCGTCAGGGGGACTTTGTGTGAAACGAAGTATGACGCACCTGTCCCGTGTAAAACCTTTGATTCCGCGGAACTTTCTTCCTGCTCTTCCTCCGAGCACAACTTTGCGATTCTGCCGATGCCCAGCGACACCTACGAAAGAACGTGATCGTACGAAAGTTAGCGTGTTACTGGCTTCGGCGAGGCTAATGCTCTGTGGTGGGGTCGTATGCTTGTTTACTTACGTGCGTGCATGCGTGCGCGTGTGTGAGCGTGTGCATGTATGTTTTCGCACTTGTGCACGGAAGGGCAGGTGCAAACTTTGACGCAGAGCAGCGACAGAGTTACTTTACGATTGCCAGTTTTTTCTTCTTCCTCTTTTTTTTTTCTTTTTTTTTTTGGGGGGGGGGGGGGGGTAAGATTTTGATTAAGAATAGAGAAACCTTAAAATAGGCTGGTGAACACTTAGAAGTACTAATTTAGAATAGCATCGCCAGCTGTGAAACAATGGGTAATGCCGTTTCTGAGTAAAATTTAGAGAAAGGAAGAAAGTGCCGAATTCGTGTTTGCGCTAACGGCGCTAACAGTGTTGTTCAGTAGGTGTACGCAAACACCAACGTTACTAGAACACTCAGTTAGGAAACACACTTTTTAAAGCTGGGCCGCTGGCGTCCAGCGAGACCGCGCTAAATACGACAACAGCGCCACCCTTTAGCGACAAGTTGAAACACGAAAGTTGCCTTCTATGACTACTGCAAGAGTCACTGAATGTTCCCAAAGTACCAAAACTTCCAGCCTCGAGGTTCCAAGATGGCGGCTCAATCTTGTTTCTTTGCTGTGGTCACCTTGAGCTTTTAGAAAGCATGTTTGTGCGTAAAAACAATAGAAAAAACTATTTTTCTGGGAACTTTCACTAGGGGTTTAGCACAAAATGACAGGGGCGTGATGTTTTCTAAAACCTTTAGTTTCCAAGGTTTTGCGCTACAATTAATATCGTTTTTATACAACCATGTCTCTGCGGTGATTTCAGGTAGCGCTTCCCGACCTGGGCGTATCCTAACCTCGGTTATAATTCGCGGCACCTCCGCTTAGGAGACGGGGGTTGGCATCCCTGAAACCCCTTTCACTGTATATATTTCGGCGCCAAAATGGCCAATTAAAATCGAAATAGAACAGTCGCAGCGTACGCTATCGAATGCGACTCTCCCGAACCAATACAAGCAGCCGTACGGTTCTCCGAGTGGCCGCTACGGGGGAAATGGCGGCGTTGCGATCGCCATTAGCTCGGTTCTCCAGTACGGAGCCATCGGCCATACCATGCTGAATACGCCGGTTCTCTCGTCTCCAGTACGGATCGGCGCCACTTTTTCTGAGCAGGCTCTGAGGCAGTTTCCACCCTGAGTTGCTTTAGTAACGTTGGCATGCACGTACGGATACGTATGTACGTACATACTTTCGCGTACTTATGCAGCATGTACAGTGAATGCCACTGTTATGCTAACACGTCATTAGCGTTTTTTTTGTTTTTTTTACAGATGGTCTTGACAAGCGTCATTTTTTCCTACTAAAGATACTGCCTTAAGGGACCATAAAGGCAATTTCAAAACTTTTTTAAAATAATATGTTTTTGGACGCATTAGGGTCCTAGCATGCCGTTCAAGGTTTGTTTAGAACTCTGTGACTCTTATTTCCGTGCCTGCAAATAAATATGCACAATCAAATCAATCATTCGGACGTGACTTCACGGAGCACAGTTCGTTTTTGGTATGATTTAGTGGATTCCCAGCGCGGTTCCTGCGGTTGGTTATAGTGCACGGTGGCCTGTGAATTGTACAAATGGACGACAACGCCGCGCTCGCAGACGAGTTTGAGCTCCCGTTCAGCAGCCTCACGCCGACTAAACGGGAGATGCTTCTCAGGACTCGAAACTCTAGATTGGTGCTCTACGAGGACGCCCCAGGCTTGCCACGGATACCATGGTCACCATACCTCGGTCGCCGCCATTGCCACCTCAGAGGGGGCGACTCTCTCCACTATAGCCAAGAGTGCGTCATTCGTTTGAACCAATCGCCTAACGAGAAGCCCGTTGTCGTCATGCGTCGACGTCACGCAGCGCACTTTAGTTCACATTTCTTCCGTGGTCTGGGGGTTCTTGGGCATCGTTCCCGGAGCAATTTCAATCGCTCAATTCAATCAACAAATAAAACTTCCGAATTGCTTTCATGATCCCTTTAATTGAATACTTTCAGTGCATGAGTAATTTTAATGAGAATATTTCGATCAAATAAAAAACATTTGACTGCTTGCTCGTTTTAATTGGGTCGCGCTGTATCCGTATATTTTACATAACTTTTATGTAAAAGTGGCGTACACAGTAAACTTCAAAACATCTATAAAGGGGTTCTACAGGTTTTTCATGTTAAATACACCTCTTCAACACGCTATACTGTTTTACCCTAGGTGTAATGTCTTTGACAGACCAACTGAGCCGGTCAAAAACGTGTCGTTTCATCTCTTGGCGGTTTCAGAAATATTGTCAGGAAATATTACTCGTTGTACAGGGGAGAATGTGGTTTCGCTTGAAAACACCTTTCTTGAAGTTTGCCAAGATAAACTCCATTGAAGTAATGGAAAATTGTCCCACTAAGCTCTGAGTATATGACATGTTCTTCAGAACGTTGAAAGAGGGGGGGGGGGGGGGGGGGGGGCAAGTAAAAGAAAAAAAGCGGGGAAGGATTATTAACAAAATTAGAAGTGGCTACCATTTCACATAGTTCCGTTTTGAATATGATAAACCGCGGAGGAATCCCATCGCCATCGCTAGGAACAAGAAGACATGGCGGTCAAACGGACGGAAGGATTAGAGCCGTCTCAAAATTAAGGTAAGGTTTGATTGTTTTTTTTTTTTTCTTCAAATTTTTGAAGCAAGTATACGACTTGGAATTTTTAATAAGTGCAAAATGATAACTTCCAATTTATGAGTGTTAGTTTTGTAAAGAAAGCTGCACTAGAATGTACGAAATAGGAAATAGTTGGAACTGCCATCCGTGTAGTAGGAATTAAAAAGAAAAACGTCTTCCCGAGGTAAGTTGGGTGCATTCGCCATAATTAATCAAGTGATTCCCCTTAACGTGAGTAAGGCCTCGTTCAAGTTTCAGCAACGAAGCTGTGCTGGTGGTTATGCTTGCGGCTCAAACCTAAAATATCCAAATGAGGGAAAACAATGACGTTTACCTACGTGACGTCGAGATACGACTGCTAGTTACTAGGACATTCGTGCCTCGTATGCTGCGTGGCGAGCCACTAGTTGGTTTGGTAGCCACGCGAATTAAGAAGCACGAGTGTTCGGTCGTTCGGCCGTATCTAGGCGTGAACCCCCGCGACTACTTAAAAAAAATATTAATAATTCAATGCATAAAAAAAAAAAAACACGCTAGAAGCGAACGCAAGACGCACTCTTAAAGGCCGACGTACGACCTCGGCTTTTTGCAGGGAAGATAATCCTGTTAGCGCTCCCCTCTCCTAATCTGCGAGGAAAGTCAAGTTGGGGCAAGCTAAACAGTGGAAAGGATATAGGAAAGGAGGGGGCGGGCAAAAGTGGAAAGCGCGAAGTGTACGTCGGACTTTAAGTGAAGTTTATTTTAAAACACAACCATATATAACCGTTAATAATCTCTAAGTCATTACGTATTGCGACACAGTCTGTATTTGAAATATTTTTATTTATCTGTAGTTAAGGCTAGTGACGTACACATTTATGCATGTTTTTCTTTTAGTTTTAATCCCAACGCCTCATTAATTTCTCTCGCCACTTTATTTTAATAATGCGTCAAAATCTTGGTGTCATTGAAGGCAGGGCCGTAACCAGGGGGGGGGGGGGTTAGGGGTTTCTGACCCCCCCCCCCGAAATTTGTTTCTGGGTACGGCCCTGGTCGGTGCACTGGCAGCCAGCCGATTTTAATCTCCACCTCTGCGCACGCACAGTGGCGCCGGTCGGCTACCGGGTACCAAACCGGGACCGGTTCTCCGGTTTGCTGTAACTCTCCATTATATGCCACCGATGCACATGATTCATAGGCGAAAATAAGACAATAGACACTTTCAAAATGGCCGCCGTTGTCCCCGAAACCCCCCCCCCCCCCCCCCCCCCGAAATTTTTTTCTGGGTACTGCCCTGATTGAAGGCAGCGGTGCACTTGCACCTGCTACAATGAACAACAAGTAGTACGGACGGAGTAGATCTTGTGGAAGCTGCATTGTCAAGGACACAATCGTTCACACATCTATCCGTCTGACATCCCACACAACGAGGTAGAGGGGCTTAGAGCGATAAACCGGGGTTCCGGTCTGCACTCAAAAGTGACCCCCATAAGGCGGCTGCCATTGTACGCAAATTTGACCACTCGTCACATGACCAAACCAAATCCGTGACGTCACAGGAAAGATGGCAGCGCCCATGCAGCGGCTGGCCCCAGCTGGGGCGGAGCTTGTCGGATGCGTTGTTGGTTGTCGTTCGTCTCGGCGAGTTGATTTCAAACGCGGACGCCGTCATATGAGGCCGTTCGACAGCGACTTCAGTGTTCAGCGTGGTGTCTGACGTAGGTAAAAGGTGAAAATACGGAGGAACGGTGCGCATTTCGCTGGTGACCGACGGCGATATTGCCACGGAAGAGACAATCTGCCCTACGTTGCTCCCACTTCGGATTGATTCGGATACCGCAAGGATAAAATTTAAGGCGACATTTCTGTGCTCTCGTTGACCATCGGAACCTTCGAGATCTGCAATAAAGCGTGTGCAATATATTTGGATACACAGTTTAGCGACGGAAATTGCGTGAGTCGTGCTTGGCAGTGCGCAATCGTGGTGCCGCTTCGTTCAAATGCCCGAAGGCTCACTTTGGTTGTGCGGTGCCCCGGGAGAGAGCTGCCTTGAAGCTGGTAGTTGCCGTGCCGTGCTAAATGATGCTGTGCTGCTTCCCAAAATGTTCCGGCGTAGACGTGCCCTTTCACGGAGCACAGGTGTGCGGCGCGCCGAAGAGCTGCCTTCAAGCTGGTAGTTCCTGTGCCGTGCTTTAGGTGATGCTGTGCTGCCTACTAAATTGTTCTGGCGTAGACGTGCACCTTCACGGAGCACAGGTGTTGCAGTTGGTATTG